ACACTGCTTCCATAAATGGGGGAAGAAATCTTAAAATTTGTAGTATCAAAGTTTTCTTTCAGGCCAATCATATCTTAGCGTCTAAACCTAACACATAATTTGAAAAGTAAATCAGTAGGGAAAACCATTCATTTTATCTTATCTTCAGAACTAGTAGAAATACTGAAACTAAATTGGAAAGAACACAACCAAGCTGCAGAGAGTGGATGGCTAGAAAAAAGCATGGCACGAATCACTAAAGGTTAATATGGATATATTGACTCTACAAGGAACTGTGATAAACAGGAAATGCAAAGTAGTGATGGCAATGGATACCGCATCATCAATGGAGAAGCCCTTTGTCCACCTCATAATAGTCCCAGAGTTGATTGAAGTCTGCATTACCGGGAATGAGAAGGTGAAACCTAGTTCTCTCTGCTTACCAGGAGGTTGTTGAAACTTTTCCCCTTCCTCGTTGACAAATTTTGCAAGTTCTGCCGCAATATAATCAAAAAGTGCCTGAAATCATGTCAACTATAAAAGCTCAAAAGGAATGTAGTCAAACAATATAGCAGGCCACAAAATCTCAACAGGACAAGTACTTACTTCTGAAGTCCCAACCATCAAATTTGGAGGAATTGATGCCTCCGCAAATTCCTGATGAACAATACCACCATCTTTTCCACCAAGTTGCACTCGCAATACTCGAAAATTTGTTCCACCAAGATCCAACGCATAAAAGACGCCAGCTTCATCACTAAATTTAAAAAGTTTTGATGAAACAAACTTCTCAAAAAAAAAGTATTGATGAAACAAACATTTAGCATATCCTCGTTTTATCAAATGTTATACCAGTCACTATACAGAACATGTTAAATCACTTGAAGAAGTATTATGCACAGCACAACTTGGCTGTATACTTTGGCTACTGTTTCAAAAGAATATTAAAACAGTCATTGATGAGAGAGATGATAGCTGCAAAAGCACACATCACAACCATTGCAAAGAAATTTACTTGACCTCATATTGCAAATTGCAATGATAATGCCCATTGCCCTGTATGTCAAATTCAACTCGGGTATGTCCAGGGAATTTGAGGAGTAACTTTTATACCGGAGAAAAATTCAGGTAAATCTTGTTAACTGCTTCTAATAAAAATGCTCAATGTGCCAGCTTACATCTCTCTCGACAACATATTACATCAACGAATAGCTTAATAAACCACAGAGAACATGTAAAGCAGAATAAACTAAGAAAATAAAAGTATCCTAGAATTCCATAATGCAACTACAAGTAAATGATATCTATATACTCCGCAGTACTTATCATATAAGACAGAACAAGCAATAAGAAAAACTGAATCTTGCACCAAGAGTGTGGCGTAGTGGTCAATGAAGTGGGAGGAGAACCATGAAATCTCATATTCAGATCTCATTTCTTCCCATCTGTAATATGGCCAATATTTTGGCTAATGGAATCCATCTCACATAAGCATAAGCATAAGCATATTCGCAAAGTGTAGACTTTGTTGGCAATATTCTTTGGAACCCAAAAATATTGCATTGTGTGGTGGATATCATTTGTACAAGTTGTATCTTTTCTTTTACAACTAAGAGGCCAAGACTTTTTTGCCTATAAAAGGAAAGGACATTAGTTCATTTTAATCACACCAACAAGACTTGAGTCTTCATTTCTTGTTTCTTACTTTCCTCCTTTATTAAGAGTATTTTGTATGAGTTAGTGTTGGGAAGCACTTAAGTGAACCCTTTCTTTGGAATGATCTTGTGAGGTTATTCTCTTAGGGTATTTGGGATTAATTAGAGTGTTTACTCTAATTTTGTACTCTCTTTTGTACTCTTATTGGTATAGTGAAATTGCTCCTCCCCGCTTGTGGACGTAGGTCACTTTCACCGAACCACGTTGAATTTGTGTCTTCTTTATATGATTTAATTATCGTTGTTATCAACTTCCATTGTCTTTGTTATTGTCACTATAATATTGTTTGGCTAAATTCTGCACTACCCGAATTCTCGATCCTAATACCGTCTCCTTAAGAATTGGTGGGTAGAGTTACTAGTACCTATGCTGGTGGAGGGTAGCAGGTACCTATGTGAGCACCAGCTGGCCGGATTACCACCGCCATAAATAAAAAGACTGAATCTTTAATACATTTCACACCCTCCTCATCATATCCCGATTAAGTAGAGACTAAGAATATAGTCCTACAACTTAATCTGGGATCATGCTAGAGCAAAACGCTCTGAAACAGTACATTTGACAATTAGGTTCAACACAGGATAGCCAAATCTATAGTGTCACCAAATCTAAAAGCTGAAGGAATCTAAGCTTCAATTTAAAAGAAAAAAAAATTAAAAAAAAAGATTTTCAACTCAAAGAGCAAAAAAATAATATTCCAACCACTGAATTAATACCACGAATCATTAACGACAAATAATCACCGCTAATCATACCCGGTGGGGAGATTATCGACGTAAGTGATAAGCATCTTGAGCTTGCTACCACCTTCGGAGGCAAGTCCAGCGTGCATCTCGACGGTCATAGCATCAGCGACTTGCTTGAGCTTAGCATCAGGGGTCCCACACTTTTCCTCAAATTCACGAAGAATAGCCATAGCACGTGCCCATTTGCTAGATTTGCGCATACGGTGGTTCACTATGAATGCCGCCACAGCACATACNGCTAGATTTGCGCATACGGTGGTTCACTATTAATGCCGCCACTGCACATACCGTAGCGGCGCCAATTACGGCGGCTCCCACCGTCGCTTTCTTCATCCTTTCTTTTTGTCACGGCAGAGGAATTGGAGGTTGGCTAAAAGTTGGTCCACCGAAACAAATGAAAAAAAAAATACAAAATGAACAAAAAGACTGGGGATTTTTGTACTTTTAAGGACAGTAATAAATTACAGGGGTGTTTGTTATGAATGAGATCGGATCATACAACCTTTGGGTGGGTAGGTGGGGGGTAGGACTTCAGTAATCGAACGAGAAAAGGGGGGAATTTATTAGTGGATGAGATGAATTTTATTACTCTATTTATTAGCAAGATTTTGTTAATCTACCTTTGAGAGTGAATAATAAATAATAAAATATTTAATGGATAAAATTAGGGAAGTCATTTCTGATGGAAAAGAAATTTTATTGAAATATATCTTTTGATGTTTGGTTGATGAATGGTAAATTTAAAAAAAAATAATTATATGTTATTAGCTAATTGGATAGTAGTTAAGTGTTAATTGAAGTAATAACGCAAAGTTAAAAGTCAAGATAACTCTATATTATTAGTATTAGTTAACAGTAAAATTGATCATATTAACCTTTATTCATTGAAAATATAACAATACTCTTAGGCTCTTTACTCCACTGACAACTTTAAAAAAAAAAATTAATTCTTTCTGATATCTGAAAAAATAAAATATTGTGGACAACAAAAAAATAGCCAAAAATCAATTAAATTAGATCGGAGTGAGTAATTATTAGCATTTATGTTTTTTTGATTAGGATTTAAGATGCATTTAGACTCCAACACGCATCTAGTTAAGCCAAAATCATCCGAAATCAAAAGAAGTAAAAGCAGCTAGCCTCTTTCAAAATTATCTCTTCACACTTACTATTATTTGCTCATATATTGGTGGAGAACAACATATTTACATATTTGAACCAATATATTTACCAAGATTTTATATTTGTCTGATATCGACGTAGGAGCAACCAGCCAAAAACGTCCTTTTTTCGACCTTTTGGGCAAGGCAAGAAATATCGTATCACGTGTCTTTTCTCTCCAATTTTGATATTTTGGAAATTTGTTTTGGTTGAGCTGTGTACAAATTAATTATACTAACTGTGCCATTCTTTTTTTTTTTAATAATAATAATACACTCATAATATGACTCAGGATTGATCTAGCGGTAAGAACACAGTACGTGAATTAAGTGCACTGACACTAATTTGAATACCAAGTTTCAACTGTGTGCTACTGATCCTTGATACTTTTTCTATTATAAAAAAAAAAAAAAACACTCAAAAAATGTATATGTCTTATTTATTACTCCAAGTCTCCAACTATCAAAATTTAGAAGACAAGCGTAGAAATAGGTGTAGTTAAATCAGATTTTCGAGTTCACCTATTAAAGCAATATGAGTGGGATACACCAAATTAGAGACCTTTTCTTAGGCCAGCTCAGCTGATCAAAGAGGAAATTATGTTCATAAATTTTAATATCAAAGTCTCATTTTCTTTGTCTTTACTTTTCAGTATTAGAAACGAAAGTGCCTCTCAATTATTTTGACAAAACTACTACCGCATTACCAAGCAAGAGGTTTGACTTTTAGACCTTTTACTTTGACTGCACACAACTTGAATGAAACTCTTACTAGTAAATCGTTGATCCTTTTATCAATGCTATATTCGCATCATCGCATCACATTTGCTTTTGACTTTATCTTAGTTTCCTTTTCATTCCAAATAAATAAAAATAAAATAATATTACACAAATAGCCAGTTAAATTCACTATTTAATTTTTTCTAACCGCTATAAATAAACTATATACTGATTATACACAGTTATTTATGTATTATTCATAGATTATAGATATTCATCTGCCGGTTATTTCTAGTTTAAACAATTGGGTTGGCAGCTATTTAAGTTAATTATTCTAAAAAAAAATTAAACCTTTTAATCCACGGTCTAAATAGTTTTTGAGTAAACTGAAAATTTTATGAGAAAACGTTGTACTATGGTCTAAATTTTGAAGAAAAAAAAAGGGGGGGGACATTTGCTTAAAGCATCAGCCTAACGAGTTTTCTTGAAGCCCAAAAGGAAATATTGGCCCAGACTGTAATCTGCTAGAGCCCAACTCCAAAACTCTAGGCTATTCCCTTAGCTGGTGGGCCCTGTGAATTTTCGTAAGTTACACGAAACCGCGCAACTCGTCCACATGCCCCAACGGTCATATTTCAGAAATTCAGATTTAAAAATCCTTATGCTACGTATTCCTAACGGTCATCTTCTTCATTTCCCTTCTCTACCTGTCGCTATTCATATATTCCAAAACTTTTCAAGAAAGCAAGATAAGAGTGATTTCTGAAATTAGGAGAAATTCATTTTTTATTTTTCTGAGTGAAACGCAGACAATCTTGAAGGAAAATGGATGGTATTACTCCTCGGAAAGCAACTCCATCGCTGAGCTCTCCTAATAAGCCTTCTGCTGTTCCAGATCGTTCGCTTTCTGGTATGTTCTTACGCATTTATCATATAAATTTACCCTAAGTTCAACCATATATTGAATTCTTGAAACCCTAAAATTAAGTTCTTTTGCAATAATTTCTTTGATTGATTCACTCACCAACATTGTATGTTCATTGTGATGTAGTTACTAGGAAATGCTTGAAATCATCGAATTTATAGTAGCTGTATTTATCTCATATTGTCTTTGTTTTGTTGATAGTGTTTTTATTTCTGTTATTAGGGTCGAGAGAAACGAATGAAAATGATCAGCCGGTTGTTCAGAAATCCTTGACTAAAACTTTCATGTCACCTACCATATCTGCAGCTTCTAAAGCTTCAGTTCCAATTAGAAAGAAAATTTTGGCCGAAAGGAATGAAATTTCCAGCTCTTGTGAAAGCCATCCTCGGAACAAAGCCTCAAATCTTGGGTCTAAAACCAATTCCCTAAATTCAACTTCTCATCATCGTTCTGGGAAATTACCTATTTCTAATTCCTACAGTTATGCCTCTGAATCTGATAATGATCAAGAAAACAACTTTGTTGTTGATTCATCCTATAAGCCTTACGACCCTCTCACTAATTACCTTGGCCCTAGGCCTAAGTATCTACGTTACAAGCCAAATAGGGGTCGTCCTATCATTCTTGATTCAAATCAAGAAATCAAACAAGGCGATTCTATTGATTCTCAGGAATCTGATGATAATGAAGGGTCATTGGAGCAAGTTCATGATTCCTCAAATCTGCCAGAAAAACATAGTAATTTGGAGGCAGAAACTGAAGAAGATGGGGATAATGGTGTTCACGAGGATGGTGAAGAAATGGAAGAAGTTGTGGAAGAAAAATGGGGTCTGAAATGGTTATTCAAAATTTTGCTTCTATTGGTTGTTTTCTTCCTTTCAGGCTCAAATTTATCTTCCATGAACTCTATGGTGAGTTCTGACAATGGCGATGTGATTCGCAAGAACATCTTTGAAGCTGTTTTGCATGAAATTTATGGGAGGGGAAGTGTTCGTATGGAGCAGCTAGAGTACTCTCAAAGTAACCTTCTGGAGTTGAGTCAAAGAGGGACTTATCATGAACTTAAGGCAGTTGAATTTGTTGAAGATGTTGTGGGTTTCTTGAATGTGGAAACTGCTGAAATGGAAGAAACAGCTGAGAAACTGAGAGGAACAAGTGCAGATATTGATATTGAACGAGACAGCACAGAGGTTAATGTTACTGATCAGAGTGTACATGGTGGTGAAGAGGAGGAAACCATGTCAAAAGCTGCTGGTGAAGTTACTAGTTCCAATGAGGCAGATGAGGAAGAAGCTGAATGTTTTCATGAGCAGCTACAGAGGGATCAAGTTCTTGGGAAGGACTCTAATCAAGATGAGGAAATCATGTCAAAAGCTGCTGATGAAATTACCAGTTCCAATGAAGTGAATGAGGAAGAAATTGAACCATTGCTTGATGTCATTTCAAGTACTTTTTCCAATGTGCAGTGTGCTGCTCAGTCAAGTTACAAATTTGAGCAAGCAGAAGCTGCTTACAATGTTGAGCAGGTGGAGGTAATCTCAGAGGAAATTGCTGTAGATGAAGAATTATCTGAGACAGAATTTAAAGTAGCTGAAGTAATTGACACCGAATCTGAAACCAGCAATCTTGACATTGAAATAGAGTCTGAGAAAGTTGAAGTTGAAGAAATTGGACTGAACAACACAGTTATTATCATTGGAGTTTCTGCAGCTTCAGTGCTTTTAGTGGCATCTTTGGTTACCATCTATGTTTCAAGGAAACCAAGAGCTTCTATCGAAACTCCTCAAACTGGGATACTAAATGTTCCAGTTATTGCTAGCACTACTGAAGAACTCTTAAAGGGGAAAACTGAAACTTCTGTAAAGGCTTCATCTTTGCATGAATCACTGAATGACCCCTCAGAAAATCACAGAAACTCTTACCTTGAGAGAACACCTGCCATTGGCTCCACTACACAAGCTTCATCTTTGTTTGGTCCAAAGAAAGAAGCATTAAAAGAGATTAGTCAAATCAGTGCTCCAAATGTTGAACTGCTAGGGGAAATGGTACTTGAAGAAGTCAGCAGCAGCTCCCTTAGAAGTTGTGTTAGGAAAAACAGTGTAATTGAAGCAGAAGAGAACAGCAACACTAAAGGCAGAAAAGCATCTGTTGTGGATCATTCTAAAACAGATTCTGCATCTTATGGAAGCTTTACAGCTGAAAAGAAGATCATCAAGAAAAAGGTATGCTAAACATTTAGTCTTTTTTTTCCCCTTAAGTGTTCAAATTCTAATGGAGACTTTTCTTATATTTGGATAAAAGCTACAATCTTTAACTGTTTGCTTTCTAAAAGCAGGTGGAGAAAGATGGAGAAGAGGTCAAGAAGATGGTGTTGACAACCCCAGTTAGGCGATCAAGCCGAATTGCTGCTATGTCCCCTTGACTGGATAACTGTAGGATTTTTTTGTTGTTAGTGTAGTGGAAACAGCATCTCTGTTGTTTCATATTCTATGGTCTTCTTTCAGATCAAATGATGTAGTACTGCATCAAGTGCAATGGCAACTAATTGTAACTTGTAGGAAATGATGAATCTCTTAACTTTCAATAGAAAATTCAACTATCTTGATCACTTCTCTTCATTCATAAATATTTTCCAGCCTAGAGAGAGAATAGGCATATACCGAGACTAGCAGTTCTAAAGTTTTCCTCCAAAACAGTATTTTAAGCATATCAAAAAAGGTCCTTTTTATGAGTTCTTTCTGGGAATGATAATGAATGAATATTAAACAAGCAACAATAAGAGTATTATTATTCTTTTCCAGTTTCCAAGGAACTGCAAGGGCAAAAAATATACTTCTGAAATAACATAAACAAAATTGAAGTATACAACATCTCTCTCTTACTCTCTAGACTAGATCTCTCTCTCTCTCTCTCTCTCTCTCTCTCTCTTGAATAGTAGTCTCCTCTTATTTCTTTTTCATTTTTCTGATCACTTGTTTTGATAGGAGGGTTGGGATTAATATCCCAAGTTGATATGATACTACAGTAACAGTAGTAGTCTAGGTTCTATGCAGAGGAATTAGAGGGGGTCTGCTCCTGCTGATAAAACTTGCCTTTCCATTAGTACAAGATGCTGAAAATCTTGAGGCTTTCTTCAATATAGCTGGCTTAGGAAGAGTATATGACTTGTAAGAATCCAATCCAGCTCCATAGCTTTTGCAAGACTTCATTTTCCTTTTGTAAGGTGATTCTTTCTTAACAAGATCCTCTAAACTTGTCACTCTTGATAAAGATGTAAAAGACTGTGATTTGCCTTGATAAAACTTGGATAATCCCCTCCTGCAATATTCATAAATGAAAAGTATAAGAATTCCACCATCAAATTTCATTTCTCATGATAACAAGATTAATCATTTTAAGTTGTAATTCATCAAAAGAGATTCTTTTCTGTTGTTACTACTTTTGTTCAATTTTACATAAACACTATTTTTTTATTATTCCGTTCCAAAACGAATGATTCACCATCTCCTTACTTACATAACATGAACTACTTAAGGTCCAAGATTACTTTTGTATGTGCCAAAAATCAATTATTTCTTCCTTAAATTCGGCTCACATAACGCAAAACGATAAAAGTACTTACTTGATAGGTAATTGTGCCATGAGAGATGATAAGTCATATAAAGCTTCATCAGAATTAGGTGAACAAGAAGAGGGAGATGAAGATGCATCATCTGTTGTGTCTAATGAAGATGAACACGTTGATCCATTTGAAATTGTTGATGATTCTCCAATGGATGATGAAATTGAGGATGAAGAAGTTGAGTGGCTGTTGTTGTATATCTTACCATTATCTAATTCATGTCCTTCGTCTATCATCCATAAATGATGTTGTTGATCTTGATTCTTCATCATGTTTGCTAGCTAAGTTTGCCTTATAATTTCTTGAAATTAAAGAAGCAGATCAAGAAAATGTTGAGATAATAATAATATAATAATAATAATAATCTGTGAGTTGGCTAAAGCGTTGGTGTCTATCTGTTAAAGGCACATGCAAAAGAAAACATGGGATTTTTTGTGTATTCTAGGAAGGCATTTATATATGTGAGTATGCAGAAAAAAGATAATGTGTGGATACAGTTCACTTTTACTTTTGAGACTCTATGACAGCTAATAACACAGAAATTTTCATCACAGTCCAACTAAATAAGTGACACATGTAAAACAATAAGATTAGCAAATGAGAAGATTACACGTGTCGAAAAGTTAAGTAGGTAACACGGCAAGAAAATGGAACACTAGTGTCACAATAGAGGGTCTCTAGATTAAGATAATAATTCAGGAATTGAATATAATGTGTCTGTAGAAATATAGGTAGGCCTTATCCTGAGATTCGACATTATCTTGTCGTATGGTTTCAAATGAATGTCTTGACTTTGGAATTGCACTAAGTTGAAGAGGATAAGCTCTGTGAGTATTGAAATATTAGCCATCAGTATCCGAGTCATCAGCTAAGTCCACAAATATTTTTTTTAAAAAAAGTATATTCTTTTTTTTCTTTGATGATAAGAAACAAAAGTTCTAGATAAAACCATTGACTAGGAGACATGAGGGGTATTCTTGCGTGCCACTTTTCCTACCGACTTTATCTTTTGGCAAAACCCTCCCNGTATTTTCTACCATTAAATGGAAAGATATATGATAAATTGTTATTTTCTGGATTTTACTCTGGTGGTAAGAGCAAAATGTGTAATCTGTTAGTTAGGCGACGTTACATGTTCAAAAACCCTCCAGACAAAAGCGTTATATTCTGAATTTAAATTCTATTGGTTCAACTTCAAAAAAATTTAATATTGAACTCATTATATTGTTAAAGTTATGAGTCCATATCTGTTATTTATTCCTTTTTAGATGGTTTTTACATATAAATTTATATTTCATGCTGAACGTACTAGGTTCAGATGAATACGGGTACCGCTATGCTGGATCAGCCCCTATCCATATCCATTATTCTCCGAATAAGTTGCAGGGCTTGAAGCGATGCTTTCAAAATCATGCAAGTATCAGTCATCTCTCTCATATGATATTTAAGTGGAGAAGGATAGAAGTTAGAATGACAATCAATTATTTTTTAAATTTTCAATCGCACGTGACTCTCTCTCTCGAAAATTTCTCAATTATAAGAAATAAGGGAATTTTAATATTTTATTTAGGATAAACTAAAAAAGATGCAATTCTAGAATTGCAAAGTAAAATGAAAAATCTAAAACACGCGTGAAACATACTTAAGCGATAAACTTAAATTTCTGAAATCATCAAACATTCAAAGTTAGTTAGCAGTCAATATAAAAGCAGAATTCAATTAAAAAAAGAAAAAAATAGGGGAGAGTCAACATTACTTTACATAGGGAAGGCATGAAAGTAGCTATACTCGTTAGTTTCCTAATACGGAACATTACTCGAATGAAAAAGTCAATAATTTGGGCTTTGTTTAAGAATCCTATATTCCAACCATTTTTCCTAACATCTCCGTTTTTCTTTTGATTTTTGGGTTATGGTATTTAAAATTTTCTATACCACAGAAAGTGAAGAGAAAAGTCTATATCTAATCTAATGTAAAGTACATACAGATAAGAGGAAGAGGTCAATTCAAAAATATTTGAACAAATCTTCACAACGACCTCATAATGCACGCACCTTTCTTTTTCTTTTTAAACTTATTCTTTTTCTCAAATTCAGACCACCTTTTATTTTTGTTTTATTTATCTTTTTTTTTAAAATAATAATATGATATTCGAAACTCATTTACTCAATTATTTGAGATTGCAATCTATTATAAGAGAAACCTTCGTACCACAAGTTTCTCCATTCCCCGGCCTCCCTACAACTACCAGATTGTTTTATAACCAAACTTTCATATTATTCAAGTAATTTTTTTAAGTAAAAAGAAACATATTTCCCCAACTTAGTTTCCCTATGACACGTAATGCAAATAAAATGAAAATAACTATATCATCTTTATTTGACTTACGCGTTTATTAGAAGCAGAAAATATTTGAATAGCTTATCATATTTAGTTTGTTTAAATAATTTTTAAATTTATGATTTAAAATAAGAGAAGTTGGAACTGTTAGTGGAAGTCTAGAAAGATTTGATCAAATCAACTAAAGAAGATAAGCTACAAATCTCTTGGTTCAAATTGTACGTGTAGTCAACTTTGTTTGTATGGCTTGTGGCAACATGATATCTACTTTTCTAGAAATGACACTTTTCAATCATATAATACTTCCAAAATGTTATATGAAGCCTACTTTGAAATCTTTTCCTTGTTCTTTCACTCTATTCATAAATATTGAAAAGTTTGTTATGATCTGGAAATTTCCTAAAAAGTTACTACACGTTTCAAATAGCGTTCAACTCTGTTCTTAATTTTTGGGCAAATTCAAATATTAAGACATTCAATTGCCTAAAACGCTTACGTCACGAATAGTCGTAAATAAGTATGCATTTATATACTTATACTTAACATACAAGCAAAAGATTCATTTTCATTCATGGCAAAGGGATATCCGCATGGTTTCCAGGACTACTAGAGGTGATTTACCTTATTTTCTTATTACTGCGGTGTAATCCACAAATAGCTAAAAACTATAGGGAAGTAGATACTATTATTAGCACCAACTTAGAATGTTGAAATTGTTAACAACTTGTCACGGTCATGTCCAACGGTCAAGGTATTATCTGCTTTGGCCCGACCCCTCTAGGCTATCTCAAGGCTTTTGTGCCTCACTGTTTTGACCCTTGAATTTTAACCCAAAAACACCTTAACAATTAAATTATGAATTCGCCCTTATATGATTCTTAGTTTCTCCTCCCATTTTGGTATGGAATTGCTTACGGTAACAACAAAACCTTATCTAGGGCCTCTTACAACTATTTGAATCTACCTTAACACTATCCCACCTTTTATAGAATAATCAATGGCAATTTCAAAATCTTTCTTTTATCCTCCCTCCTACTATCTCTACCCTCATCCATAATACGTATTTCAACCCTTACTCATCACGCCCCGATACGTTCTGCTGGTTCCCCAATCAAAGCGGCACTTTTTCCACGAAATCGGCATACCAACTATATCTTCACGAATTTCAATCTGCTGAGATGAATGCTGCCCCCCTCACCTGGATTTGGAAACTACATATACCCAATAAACTTAAAATATTCCTATGGTTAGTGCTGCAAAATCGACTTCCTACCGCTACTTACCTTCACTCTTTACGTATTCTTAATCATGTCGTTCTGCTCCGGAAATCATAAAACACTTGTTTTGGGACTGCGATAACATCAAACCATTGTGGACTTTCTTCGATGTTAACACTACTGGTCCCAACTTTAACGATTGGCTTCACGATCAATGTCTTTAAACTCAAAACCCCTTTAGCTACCAAGGCATTCAGGTCCTGCGATGTTAATATTCCCTTCATTCTTTGGCATATTTGGATAATACGAAATCATAATCTTTTTAATAACCTTCACAATCAGGTGTCTGTTAATAATATTATGTACCATCTTATAGAATTTCACTTTCTCTCAGTGGCTCATATCCTACAACTGTCACGGGCACTCTTT